AATTCATTGGAGGGATCATTCAGAGAGTGGATTCTGTTTCAAATGCATGGATGCCATGATGGATAAATCTTCTGAGAAGGAGGTGAGGTACTTGGGAATGGTACCCTCTTTTCATTCTGGGTTGATGAGTCCAGGAAAAAGGAATGATGGTGTTCTCTTAGAAATGTCTTGAGCTGGCCTGGGATCTGGACCTGCCTGCCCTCCCAGGGGTGCATGGGAGGGAAACAATCCTGAAAGATGCTAACATACATAGTGTGGATGAGAAGACTAGAGGCAACAATGCCTAACTTACAAAAGAAAGAGGCAAAAGACCAGCACTCCAGATGAGGGACGATGGGGACAAGTGCATATCCTAGGATTCATCCTTATGCTGTCTCCTCTAAATTCCAATTTACAGAATAATGTTCAATGCCAGAATAAACTCCTTTTCTTAATAAATGAATGACGAAAAATTTGAGCCAATTTTTCAGTAACGTGCAAATTTTATTTAACAAGTTACTCAATGGACCCATGAGTAAGTGTGTTGGCGAGGGAGGTGGCAGTGACCCACCCTTGTTACCGAGGGCTCCACAATTGTAAACCATCAATGCAACCAACCAGAGTGGACAAGTGACTTAACCAGTGCATACTTTCCCACCTGTAAGCTCAAATAATTCTAGAACCTTGGATTTGAAGAACAAGAACCCTAAATCGAGTCCCACAGAAAATAATTCAAAGACCACAAACCCCCACAAGAACATGGCACAGGGTAGAAAGAATATAAAATATAGAGATTGAACTTAGGAGAGAAACTAGCATATTAAGAGTTTTATTCATTTTCTTCTCTTCATCCCCACACCAAAGTGTACATACATGCCCACACATGTCCATTCACACCCTCGTGCAAAGCAAAACTTCTGCCTCGTGACCTGTAACTTATTACCGTTTCTTCACTTTGCATCAAAAGCAAAATTTTCTCTAATCTTAAAGCCAGACCAGACAAACTGGTGCATTACAGTATCAACTGGATGCTTGTAATTAGTCTTGTCTGAGAGGTTTAAGAGAATCTGTCCAGACTGTGTTGTAAAATGCAGCTGGTAAGGGGCATGGTGGCTGAGTTACCACTGCTGATTTGAGAGCTCGGTCGAGAGCTCCCCCATTCTCTCTGAGGTCTCATCTGTAAGTTGAAGGGATGAGTCCAAGATGACCTTCCCTCTCTCATTCTTAGGTGCTCACCCAGGGACCAAACACACCCTTCTTTCTTATCTTGCTTCCACACCTCCCCACTTAATAAATCCCAATTTATCCACAACTCCAGGAACTGACAACAGAAGAGGCAGCTGAACTGCCACAGCCTGCCTCTGAGCTTTCCTCTCTGAAATCCAAGAGCCAAGCTCCAACCCTGAAAGGGAAACGAAAATTCCCCAAGACAAGGTGCCACCTTCGAAGAACCTGCAGATCACGGCCCCACACGTCTGTGATGAGGGAGTGCTGGAAGAAGGAAGACCGGTCAGAAAACTGAGCTTCCATTTCCACTTACTGCTCACTTCAGGTGGCTCCGGCATTGCTCCTTGATAAACAGAAATGAGAATTTCTAGGATTATTTCAAGTTGAGAAGGTGGCACCCAACCGGTACCTTGCTGATCACCTGCTTATACCTTCCCCAACTTAAGTTCTGCACAGCCAGGATCTCAGGGGTCAAGTTCATGATCAATCCAGGAAGGCAAGGCTCTTTCAAGCAGTCTCTGAGTAAAGGCAAGTACACGCATTATTATGAACATACATGATGAGCTCAGGCTCCTACCCAAGAAATGAGCACAGGAGCAGTACAAGTTTGCAAGATTTGACAGGACCAGAGCTCGAACAAGTATCAACACCACCTTTTTAAAAAGTAGAGTCTAAGATACAGAGATTACTGGAGAAGCAGAACTACAAAATAAACAACTAATGAACCGCAGCTTGGGAAGAAAATTCCAAGAATTCTTAATAATACTCCCACCCGGCACTCAACCCCCATCTGTATTTTCCTCTCCATATTTACAGGGGCTTTTCAGCCCAAGATCTAATGCTTAACTTCATAACATCTTATGATTTATAATAAAATCATTTATAAGATTTTTACGACCAAAATGATTATTCCCCCTTTGGTTTTTGGAGACATTTCTGTTCATAAACCTACCATTAACCAGGGCCCATGATTTCTGGTACTTAAAAAAGAAATATGACAAACACCTTAAGTCAGTCTCTCACACACCCCCCCCCACAAAAGAAGACATTGCCATTTGGTGATCTTAATGCTACACAAATTTTTTCTTCCAGAAAAGATTCAGTCAATACTTTTTTCCTTCCTAGCACAGCTGGTTTTTAAATGGCATTATAAAGCAGATGGAATGCTAATAACCAAAAGCCAGAGGGCTGATTAGGCTGTTTGCAATCTGCACTTCACAAATAAAGAAGTATTACTGAAAAGTAAAGGTCACTCAAAATGAATTGCGTTCCATCAAGAGCTTCGGCAGGGACACCAGGGCTGACTATTATTGATTGCCATAAAATTCTCTGGAAAAGGAGAAATGCAGCATTGTCACGAATTTCTCCTGGCATGGAAGGATTTACTCAATTGAACAATGGTTCGCCTTACTTAGCGAGCCACTGAAGCACCCGTGAAACTCTCTGTGCACGTGTAGAAACTGAATTGATGCAGAGGTCACTCCATTAGCCCAATGTTCAATAAGGTGCTTCTGGGCCAGAAGGTTCACGAGGAAACAAAGGGCTAGACCAAGGTTCACATCCTCACAATCAAAAGAGGGAAGGATCACTTGCAAGGCACGTCACCACATCTCTCTCAGAAGCATCTATAAAAGTTTTTTATTCAATCATGAATCACTGGGGTGGAAAGTAATGTGGTCCATTCATTCTGAGCCTCCCTTCTATCTCTGCTTCATTCCAAGCAGATGCGTCACAACTATTTTCTAGATTCTCACCTGAGCAGCAAGACCCGGGGCAGAGATGGGGCTTCTTGGAGGCATGACAGACCTCCACCCATTCTGCATGCTTTGAAGGACACAGTAGCCCAGATGTGACCGAAAGACCCTTCTGGCCCATATGCACAAGTTATTCCAAGTGTCTGCAGTTCCACTCACTGGATTAACTCCTTGGCTAAACGTTTACAGGGTCATCTTCTTTGCTTGGCTCTACCTTCTCTCCTTCTGGTGCTTAGCTGTCCCCTCCCATCACTGGGCAGGGAGGGCACCCCACTGTTGGCTGTACCACCCAGGTGTAACCATTCCAGAGATCAGCCCAGGCCTTAGACCAGAGTCACTGCAGCTACCCAGAATCGAATTTCTCTGGTGAAGTCCCCTCCTCTAAAGTTTTTGATTCTGTTTTTTTCAATGGTGGTAAAATAAACATGATATAAAATGGCCATCTTAACCATTTTTAAGTGTACGGTTAGGTGGCATTAAGTACATTCACACTGCTGTGCCACGTCATCATCCATCTCCAGAACTCTCTCCATGCTGCAAAACTGAAACTCTGTACCCATCAAATAATCACTCCCTATTACCCACTCCCCCAGCCCCTGGCAACTTCCATTCTACTTTCTGCCTCTTAAGAATTTCACTACTCTAGGGACCTCATAAAACTGGCATCAGATGGTATTTGTCCTTTCTTGACTATCTTCATGTAGCTTAATGTCCCAAAGGTTCACCCATGTTGTAGCATGAGACAAGATTTCCTTCCTTTTTAAGGCTGAATAATATTCCACTGGATGTGCAGACCACATTGTGTGTACCCAATCTTCCACTGCTAGACACATGGGCTGCTTCTACCTCTTGTCTGTAATGAATAATCCTCCCCTGAACATGAATATACAAAAATCTCTTTAAGTCTCAGCTTTCAATTCCATCAGTACACACCATGAAGTTGAATTGTTGGGTCATATGGTAATTCTATTTTTAACTTTTTTTTTGAGGAACCACCACATTGTTTTCCTAGCAGCTGCACCATTTCTTCTGCAGTTTTTAAGATGTCCTTAGGTGTCTGTGATGAGAATAAGAAGGTGAAGAACCAGTGCTGGGCCCGCAAAAACCATCTCCTTTCCATTAAATCAATGCATGGCAACTACTACTGAAAGTTGCTTTGTTTTTACACAGTGAAAACAGCTGTGTTTTTCTCAGTCAGTTCTGGTTATGCTGATAAATGGATAGGAGATGTGATGTTCTGAAAATTGCCCAGGTCGATACTTAGTTTAATAGGAGCCTCCTCAAGATCATACTTTAACCAAAAAGGAATGAAAAGTGTAAACCAGGATTAGGAGAATTCAAAAATGAACTTTCGCTTTGGAGTCACACTTCAAAAACGATGCAGCCTAAGATCTAAATTCTTAATTGTACACAAAACTGAGGGGAAAGTAATCAGCACCGAGCATGCAGTTTATTCAATTTATATCTGTGATTAGCCATTCCATGTCTGACTTACGGCTTTCGGGTAAATGGGTACCAATTTATTTTTCCTCCACAGAGCTCCATGCGTGAAGTGTAATTACAAATTTGTTTGCATTTTCTGTGGTGTGGAATTAAAATCATAACCTTCCTGGAGACTTGGAACAGGATGATTTCTTGTCTTTTAATGTTTCCTCAAAATACAAGTAGATGCCAAGTAGAGTTTCATATTGAATGCAAAATAAGCCCACTGGTTCTGGCCACATGACTCTTGAAATTACTGTTTTTACCTGATGAAACAACCAGTTACAAGATGATAGTAATTCCCCCAAAATCGGAAATTTTGTGTTTACAGATGTCAACTTTTCATTGTGTCACACTGCTGTATCGTTAATATGGGCTTTAGTTAATGGATAGAAAAACTTTACCTGAATGGACCCTTCGTGAAGCTAGATCGATGAATCTTCTTGTAGGCAATTTTTCAGTAAAAGCCAAGAAACTTCAAACTCCGCCTGCCTGAGTCACAGCCGGAGCTGGGGAGGAGCCGGGAAGGGC